ATGGGTGTGTAACATATCAGAGAATAGATGCGGAAATTATTGATTATGATTGACATTGAAAATAGAAAGGCGGGGCGCAAACTAGGGGGTGAATATAAGATATTATTAAACATTATTGGGAATTAATGTTACTTAATTATACATATATGTGTGTATATATATATATATATATATATGTATCAGTATGTATGTGTAATTTATGTTGGCGTACTCATTCTTCTACGAGTTCCTCCAGCGTGACGATAGAAGGGGGAAGAAGTTACAAAAAAAAAACACGGGTTGATCGCGAGTCGCGGGGGCCGCGGTGGGACATTTAAATTTTGTCCGCGACGGACTGAGGACGAGATCGATTTGAGATAAGTCAACTAATTTAGTTAATCCCGGTTAAAATAAAAACATGATGACTTACTACCTGCTGTAACTCGAGAAGGAGCTGGGGCTCACGCTGGGGCTTCTCTTTCTCTCAAGGAGCGATCTTAGGCACTCGATTTTCAACCGCGCACAGATTCTAAGTTCTTTTCCGCCCGTTAAAATGACAGCGTGACAAATACTAAATTGACTGCCCAGATCTGAGTGAATCGAGTTGCCCAGAGAAGACATATATATACCTGGGATCCCGGTCGGGTTCGTTTGATTGTCGGAAGCCGCCGCATTCCGGAAAAGGGGTTATCGGAGTGACCCCCCTTTGATCCGGAGCCGCCGAGTATTGCGCTTATTGTCGGCTCTCGCGCGTCCGCTTCTTAGAATGCAGGAAGTCTTGAATCTATCACGTAATAAAATAGTCGCCGCTAATCGACTCCCCGTGTCCGGCAGCTGACTTTGACGTTTTCCACGAATGAAAAGAATCGTCCGCGGCGTTGGTGACCGGTAGATAAGATCCTCGTGTGTCAGGTTTCTTTTTCTAAGAACTCACGCGTGGGACCAGGCGGCGATCTTTTTTATTTACTTAATTGTAGGGCAATGGGGTTATCGGCAAAAGATTCCTCTTATTGGCGGCTCTCGCGCGTCCGCTTCTTAAAACGCAGGAAGTCTTAAAT